TATATGTATATATAAGTATTTATTTATTTTTGCAGTTGCCATTGGTAAGTAGCCCTACTTATCAAGGGTTTCTAAGATAAAATTTTACACAATGTATGCCTTTGAATATTTGCAGTGCCCATAGACAAATGTATGTACATATACATATGAATATAAATGCACGTACTAATAAAGTAAATATTAACAATTTTGTGGACGTTATCGAAAAATTCGTGAAATCGCATTAAACTATTAAATAAATTACCAAATTAATCCGCAATTAATGTGTCGAAAGAGCGGTCATATTCATGTTTGAAAACACGTAAATGATACGAGCCTATATTTTTCCGATTTTTATAAATAATTTGTCACGTTTAAAAACGTTTAAAGATAACTAAGCTAATATTACTCATATGACAAAAGAAGGCTTTGGATTTGTGGAGTTGGAAAACCAAATGTGAAATCACTTTGCGGTAGGCCAAGGGCAAAAGATATTTCCGACCAAAGCAGGTGTGCAATTGCAGCAGAAAGCTGGAATGTGGAATAATTTTTTGCATTCTTTTTTTTTAGCAAATTTATCATTGATTGATTGATAAACGAGGAATGCAACGCACCTTAGCTCTATTTTGTCCTAAATCACAAAGACTCACCTAGACCCACCATATTGATAAAGTCCAATACGGTGCTAGGTGCTAGGGAAGCGATATGATCCCTATTTAGAAACATGGATCCAAAGGCGTTTAACCTGTGTCTGCAGACTGCTGAGCAGTCAATTAGCAGGTGTTCTGGTCTTTAAGACTCCCTGTCGCAGAACGCCATTAACCGAAATCCTATAAAGTGCTATAATTAAGTCTGAGATAGAACGAGAAGATTTTATGGTAGCCGGGATAAAAATTCGACGATGGGCGTAGTACCGCCCACCTTTTTGGGAATCATAAACCTCGGGAACCGACCGACCAATTTCGACTAAATTTAGGACATAGCATTCCTCTCACATTGTGAAAATGGACCAAATCGGACGGCAACCACGTCTACTTCCCATTTAACATAATTTTAAATTTAACTTTAAATCTTCACCTTACAGTACACTGAGTCGGAGAGCAATTGATTTAACAGGATAAAACTTGCACTAACAATTTCTTTAAAGTATACCATCTTATGACCCAAATTTGTCCAAATCCAAGCAAAACTGTTCAAGCCCATAGGTACGGAATATGTGGCCCCCAGTACCTATAGCTGACTTTTGGCCAAAATTATCGGTCAATGTGTGAGGTATACAATTAAAATTTAGACAGAATATTTTCCTGAGAGCAGTAATTCTGTGTGTCAAAATGGGTTGAATCGGATAAAGACTTTCCTGAGCCACCATACACATAATGTAAAGACTTTCGAGCTTCCGTGTGTCTTTATACCGCCCGATATAGACCAAAATGAGACAGCGTGTGTTACTCATAACTGTGTATCTTTATGCCTAAAATAGGTCAAATTAGAGGAAAACAGGTCTTTCCCTCGTGTATCAAGATTTACGAGCATTCAGCTGACTTTACTCTACATGATTGGTGATTGTGTATAAGGTACTTTAGTGATACCCAGGGAACATTGTTTTTAGCTAGTAGTTAATAGATGAAATCGGTTTGATACTACCTCAACAAGATTATTAAACGTTCGGCTGCGCCCGAACTTAGCTCTTCCTTACTTGTTTTTTATGTCTTTTTTCTTTTGTTTACAATATTTATCTACCCTGGTCTATCATATTTGTGAATATCAAGAATTTGAACTTGAAAAAAAGAATGGTTGACTTTGTATCCGAGGCGCATCTGGCGCGCCAGGGGCTGGGCAATTAAAATCACACAAGGCCAGCGATAGTTGAACGAAAGCGACCGAAATCAGATATCAACAACATAAGTTGAATAACCTGTTAAAATGACGTTGCGTTGGTAAATTTTGACCACGGTTGAGAGGAATTTTCACGGAAGTTATGATAACCTTACTGTTATCTCATTAGTACAAGACTTTATATTTGAAATGATTCACAAATTTAGCTGCTTTATTTTATTTTTGCTGCTTAGTATATACACATGTATGTATGTATGTATATGGTATATGATATATCTTATCATGTGCTGCCTATCTAATTAATACTCGTACCACGTATGTAGTTGACATGTAATAACATGAGAATTAACAGTTTTTTCATTTCAGCGTCAGTGTCGTTACAACAGTTGCGAAATCGAAACATTCCGTTTGCTAAGCTTGTTGAATAGAAAAAATATTTTTATTACTAATAAAAACACAATGGTCATCAGCGGCTACACGTGGAATCTCGCCAATCAATGTTTCATTTTGGCCATAACCGTTTGTATGTCGGTGAAATGTGCGCAAATGAAATTCCAAAAAACTGCCACACACGCATTTCTCTGCACGCTTGGGGTAAGTGCATACATCACACTTGAAAAACCTCCGATTTGGTTGACCTTCAGGAAACCAGCAGTAACTCTGTTGCATTTATAGTTTGTTTTTCTCTCGGCCGAGGGCATGATGGTGCGTTGCAACAATAATTGGCTAACACGCTCGCTGCATCCAGATACAAAGACAACACTGCACCTTTGGTTGCAATTGATTGGAGGTATTTTAGGCGTGGCGGGTACGCTGCAAAAATCACTGCCAAAGGAACACCATTTTCGCTCGTGGCATGGAAAACTGGGTATGTAACCAGGAATACACAAATATATGTATACTTTCTTTTAATTAAACATATACTCATTTTTGGACTTTAGGTTTAGCTGCTTGTGTGTTCTTTGTGATCAACTGTCTCTCCGGCTCTTTGGGCTTGTACTCCTGGGGTTATCGTCAGTATGTGTCGCCTGCAGTTAACGATTACATTCACAACTTTCTCGGCTTGCTAACATTTATTACTGCGATGCTGGCTCAGTATACCGGCTATAATACAGGCTTCTTTCGCCGCAATTTAAAGGAGCATGAAAAATTCTATAAATACTTGACAGCGGCTGTTTTGGTGCTGACTACATGGGGACCATTAATGATATTTCTGCGGAAGCTCTAATAGTTTAGAAATTAAATAGTTAAACATTAAGCAATAAGTTTTCTTTTTAAGGAAATGTGATTATTGTACAAAGTTCGAATTTAGAAGTGTGTTTGTGACTTAAAAATTAAAGAGTAAATGATTTTGTATTTTTTTGTATAAATTTTACTTTGTAAGATACCAAAATTTTTATTATGCATGGCAATCGGCTATTGATATTGTTGTTTTTGTTTTAGCAGGTAGCGATCTCAACGGGGTTAGATCTACGCAATAACAGCCTTTGGCCGGAGAAAATACGCGTCAATTCCGGCGCGTAGAACCGGATATTGATCATGCACTGTCTTTGGTGTATTCGAGATACCAAGTGCAGTTCGGCCCTTCTCCACCTGTTCTTTCCAACGGAGTGGGGGTCTTCCACTTCCGCTAAGGAAGTACCGGCGGGTACCGAATCAAAAAACTTCAAAGCTGGAGTGTTGTTTTCTATTCGTGCAACATGATCTGGTCAAGAGGATATTCCTCAACTACGTCGACAACATCAGTCAATACGCCGACCAGACTTCGGACGCAACTAAAAATTTAAAACTCTTCTCATATATCTTTTACATTTTTATTTTGGATATAATTACATTCCTCTATGGGTAAGGTTTATCGAATTCGTATATATGTGGATATATATTATATAATAATTGAGAAAGCCATTTCAAAGCCATTCATAAATTCATACAATAAAATAAGTTGTGACACTAAATATGTGTGTAAATAATATGAAATATATTCGTTCATAAGATAAATGTAATCAAAATATATATATGTACTTGTTCAAATACGGATTTCATTGGTCGAAGAACAAGAGAGAAAAAAACAAATATAATGTATAGGATGGTAAAAGAAGTAAACAGAGAATGATTTTAGAGCGAAGGCTCATGGTAATGAATACACTTTTCACAGTGTTAGTATAGTAGTGCAGATTTATCGTTTCAGTAAAGAAACGAATGCATACGTGGTTATAGTGAAGGCAATATGATTTTGATATAAGCATTACAGAGAGAAAAATGTTCCTTAAATATTAAATGAGCAAACTTTGCAGCTATATACAGATATCTTAATTGTTGCCTTGGCCCTGTGCCGGTGACATCAAATCCAATGCTGCCGAAATATTGCCATTGACCGATTCAAGCAATTGTGTTAACCATCCGCCTTCATTGCTAAAGCCCATAGCTATCATAGCATGTATAGCTTTATTGATACTGGGATCTGTATAGAACAGCAGAATTGAGGTCAAACTATCTAACTATTTTCACAATTCAAGCTTACCTTTGTGATAAACGAGTACAGCTAGATTTTGTGGTTTGGGCGTAGCTCCAGTGTTAATGGATGTTGTGGATGTGTTATTGTTGGTCACAAGGTCAGACTTAGCCTTCAAGACATCAGCAATTATAATTTTTCGTTCAATGTGGGCACGCTCATTTTCCTTTTCAACATGATCTTTCAAATCCAAGCTGAGTTTTTCAAAACTTATATCGGAATTGCTCTTTGGTGACAAGTTTTCGACAACTGGTGTTGATGTTGATGCTGGAGTAGCTGGCGTTGTACCAACGGCGCCGGGCAATTCGATTTTTTCAATAGTTTCTGTAGAGCTAGCAGCCGAAATATTGAGTAAATTTGTTGTGGACTCGGCAGCCTGTTTGTCAATCATTTGCCAGTCATTTTCCTCGCTTACTGAACGTTCCACAGTTGTCGTATCAGGATTGATTGGTTTCTCAGCTTCACCGGTATTTTTGGATTGTCCGTTATTTAATTTTTCTGCTTCGGTAGTATGCTTATCAGTTGTGCTCGATTTAGTGCTTGTGGAGCTAGCAGCCGAGCGCATTGAACTTGCTGCTGAAGCTGAAGAGCTTTTGCGTGCTTGGTAGCCAGTACCAGCATATGCAGATGCATAACTGTTGTCCTCAGCGTCTTCCACTGGTTCGAGCATTTTTGCGAACATATTGCTGAAATTATTAAACATTTCTACACCAGCTTTCATGAATTTCGGATCAATGAATTGTGCGAAATCTTCTAAAGTTGGTGTAATTGGTACCGACTTGTTGTCTTTTGATTGATTGTAAGTGTTGCTTGAAGCGGATTGTGATGTAGGAGTTGAAGTTCCAGTATTAGCCTGTAATGTACGAAATATAAGTGATGTATATATGTTGAGTATTCCAATATTCCAAAAATTTACCATGTTAGGAGTGGCCTTTCCTGCAGCTGCACCTACATCTTCCTTATTAGACTGAACTCCAGCTTCTGCGTTAAGCAAATCATTCAAAACTTTTGCAGCTGCTTGCTCATTAATGGTTGCTGTTATTTCAGCAGCCTGTTTGTTTACTTGTGCTGCTACTTCGGTAGCTATTTTAGTAGCTGCTTCAGCTGTCTTTGCTGCTGCCTCACAGGCAGCTTTAGCCGCTTCGTTTGCGGCACCAACTTCTTTTGGTTCTGTAGATACATTTTCCTTTGGTGGTGAAGGAGCTGATGGATTATTGGGATCGCTCTCATCCATTTGCCTATATGTGGCGCCACCCTCGGCAAGGTCGGACATCATTTCATACATGTGGGATAAAAATCCGTTGCGCATTTGACGACGATGATGCTTGCGTTCATGATGGTGATGATGTTTTCCAAGCTTAGGCTCTACGTCATCATTAGCGCAATTGTCGTTTGCTGCAGCTGTTCCTGCTACTCCCATATCAAAAAATGGGCAACCGCCAGCATTTGAACTTTTGCGTTCACGTTTTGCTCGGCGGCCACTGGCGCGTCCACATGGAGAAGTTATCCAAGCGTCAATTACACTGGGTGAGTTTTCTTTTGGCATACGTACCATCATGTGCTCTGAGTGTTTGTGCTTGGCCTCACAACGTTGGCATAAATCGAAATTCGGACACTGAATACACTTGTAACGAAAACCAACAATTGGTGACAAACCACAAGAATCACATTCTACGCGTTCGTGTATGACAAAAGCACTTGGATCATCATCGTCCTGGGCCGGCTTTTTCGCACATACTGATGTGATATACATGTGTAATCTATCCGACCGTTTATTAAGGAACGAATCATAATCGGCTTGGTTGCAAATGTCGATTTCATCGCCATCCTCATCTAATTAAAGTAAATTAAAATGAAATTATATTCCTCTTTTACGGTTTTTTCGTTTTATGAGAGAAATCTAGAAGCGATTTCCACACACATATGTATATAAAAACAAAATGAAAACTGAAGAACTACAAATTAGTCACTACACTGCTTTGTTACGAAATTGTGATAAGAATACGAACCTCATATTTATGCCTTAATACTACGTACTATTTGTAAAGCAGTTTTCAAACTTGTTTTAAAATTTTGCTATTATATACTCACCAAACCAGGTAGTTTTAAATTCAACCATGGGTAGCATGCGTTCAGCAAAGAGTTGTTTCGAAATGTTATTCTTTAGGATATTGTAATTGTTCGATCCCATCTGGATGTATATATTGAGTTTAGAATTTCCATCATCATACGTGACTTTCATTAACTTGGCGAAACGCTCCATTCTTAAAACTTTTTATATGAATTCACACTTTTTAAATTAAATAATCGATTTATCGCACAATATTTATCCTTGATCTTTAGTTGCACGAGCGTTTGTTAATGTTTATAATTGTATACAATATATGAATATGAATTTATTACTGCAAGAAACACTTCCTGACGGCTAGAATTACTTTCAAACTATTATGTCTGTTTCGCACTTTTTCCGAAGTTTATATACTGCGCAGTTGAGTTCTTGCAACTAAATGTTACCTGATTCAGCGCTATACCTGCTGGTTTTTCTTGATATATATAACTTCGCGTATTTTCGTGAATGTTCTTCTTTTCAAATTCTGCAACTCACTGAATAATGTTCGAGTTTTTCTCTCTTTCTGGTTCAATATATATGTAAAATAACCAGATTCAAATGTGCAACTTCATTTGTTAAGACGAAAAACTATACAATCGGTTGTGAAATAATATTGGACGACTCTGATATCAAGGCTGCCAACTGAAAATGCACCGATACATAGAGAAAAAGTTTGTACGAATGTTACGAAGCAGCAGATCAAAGCAAAGCATAAAAACTGCTAATTCCACCGTGTCTATTGTGAATATAGATAGCAGACGCAGAGTTGTATTTGACTGATAAAACATAGTATTTCAGTTGACAATAGTGCAAAATTGATAATAGTATTTATTTTGGCAATATTTATGATCAGGAAAATTTGTGAATATACCATATATAAGAATCAACCGGAAAAAAACTTTGAATTAATAATAAAATAAAAAAAATTCAAATTGATTTTGGTTATTTCTGGGAGTTTAGTCTTTATAAATTTATAGGTCAAACCGAAATCATTGGTTGAATAAATATTTCATTCTGTATGGGATGTCAGTTTCACACGACAGTCGTACCCACGATGTTGGGACAGGAAAACCGTTTGACGTTTGAGGAAGACGCGCTGTGTTTGAGCCCCACCCGTAAAAAACGCCACCAATGATCAGTCAAAAACAGCCTCGAATGAGAGGTCCCGAGAGGTCCCCCTTTCGATGGCGATCATGGCAAACGAAGTAAAGAAGAAGAAAAGGTTTGTATGGTATCTATTAAGTATATGCTATAGTGGTATTTTTACTAAAGTTGAGTTTACTGGACAATTCAGGATTGGATTAGATACCTTTTTTTTGTCTTTATGTGCGCTTGGCACTGCGAGTTCAGAGTGTCAAGGTACATAATGTTTTATAAAGAAGATATTTAAATTTCTACTCAAGTTATCGTTCGGTTGGTTGGTTGATTGAAAAGGGAAGCGCAGGAGCGTCAGCCGTACTTAGGCCAATTACCCTCGCCTGATGTTTAGAGAGTCATAAAGTTAACCGGAAATAAATTTATCTCGCCCAAAAACGGCTTCGGAAATCAGCCTTAAACCAATTAATTTCCAACAAATACGCTTTTTTAATAGAACTCCAATTGCGAGTATTTATTTTAATGATTTGAGTGATGACAGGCTTCTTGTTTCTAATTTAATTATTTTTCATGTAGGAGGTTTATAATTCTTGAAAAAATAATAAAAAGTTTTCCACTAATCTTCACTACCAACAGCAT